TTCTTTCTCTCTCTTTCTTTCTTTCTTTCTTTCTTTTTTTCTTTTTGAAGAGGTTTGTGCAATAGGACGCATGTGCTCGCCAGAAAGAGAGACAGAGAGACAGAAAGCGAGAAATCACCCCCTGGTGTTTGTGGGGGGATTGGCCACGCCGCAATCCCTTCTCCTCCATTCTCCTCTCAGATCCTGGGCATGCACACGCACACACACATGCATGCACACGTCCGGCATGAATTTAAGCCACTGGGTCTGGGACTCGAACCATGTCGACTACATGGGAGTCCAGTGACATAGCCATTACACCATCTGCTGGTCCATTTATTTAAAATTTTAGAAAACTAACTGATAGCCAAAGAAATCCAATCAGTGTTTGCCTGCTGGAGGGGCAGCGAGGTAGGAAGAAGGAATTGTACAGGGGCAAGAGGACACGTATAGGACTCCGTGTGTTCATGATCCTGAGTGTGGTGGGTTTATAAGTATACACATATGCCCAAACTTATTAAATTGCACAGCTTATTTCATGGCAGCTTATTTCAATTCAATAAAGCTCTTTGAAAGTATACGGATGGGGCCAACTTTGCAGGCTAAAGGTTAAAGGAACTAGATCCCACATGGCTGACCGTGGTTCAAATCTCATCCCCACTGGCTTGAAAAGCACACTGTGCATGCCCCAAATCCTGACAAGGTGGAGAGATGGAGGAGAAGAGATTGTGATGTGACCCCCCCACACCCCATTGAGGGGTACTTTCTCCTTCCTCTCATTCTCTCTGTCTCTCTCTCTCTCTGGCAAACAAACAAAGCCTCTGGCAATTAAACAGTATACTTATGTTTCATTACATAAGGAATAAATAATATTTATTTAATAAATAATAAATATTTCTCCTCTGGTTATCATAAATATAACTTCAGAACACTAAAATCTCCCTTACCTACATATTTAACTTCTCAAGACCTTTCACAGAAAAACACTTGAGCATATGTGAATGAGAAGACATGCACAAGAATATTGATTATATATTGTATGAAACAGAAAAAGAATTAGAAATATATTTAAGTCACAGCTTATTACTTAAGCCCTCATTTATTGAACCTTGCATTTACAGAAGAAACATTGCTCAATGATTACATAGATGCTGCCTTTTAAAGATAGATCTAATGTCATTTTCACTGGCTTCTAAGTAAGTCTGTGAGCCAAGATTTCTTCAAGTGTTCATCACAGAACTATTATAATTACAAAAATAGGGCCAATGATGGTACAATGATAAAATTCGATTCTCTGTGAGACTAGCTCACATGGGAAGGCCAAAACCTCCCAGGGCACACTGAGCATGTACCCATAATCTTGGGCTGGCAGAAGCAAGAGGTGGATTGTAGCACCAAGACGCTGTTAAGGGTGCTATGACTGTCTTTCTTACTCATAAAAGAAAGATACAAACTTTTAAAAAATTACTAAGATGGAACAAAGTAAATGCTCAAAATAATAATTTTGTATTTAAATTATGGTATATACAAATTTTGATAAAATATGCTAACAAATGAACACTAAAAAAGTATGGAAAATGTGGGACCAGGGGGCCTGCAGGTGGTGTAATGGTTGCGTCGCTGGACTCTCACATAGTCAACTGAAGTTCGAGTCCCAGACCTGGCAGCTTAAAATTCATGTCGGGTGCATGTGCATGCATGCCCAGGATCCTGAGAAAAGAGTGGAGGAGAAGGGATTGTGGTGTGGCCGTCCCACCATGGGGGGCGATTTCTCTCTGTCTAAGAATTCCTGAGAAGAGAATGCAGGAGAAGAGAGCAGCAGATGGCATAATAGTTATGTTGCTGGACTCCCATGTAATCAATCGCAGTTCTGGACCTGGTGGCTTAAAACTCACACCAAGTGCATGTGCATGCATGCCCAAGATCCCGAGAGGAAAATGGAGGAGAATGGAATGCGGTGTGCCCATCCCACCATGGGGGGTGAGTTCTTGCTTTCAGTCTTTCTGTCTCTATCTCTCTGGCAAGCACATGTACCCTATAGCAAAAATCTATCTAAAAATAAAAGGTATGTAAAAATGCTACCATGGAGATATATTTCATGACCATGGGAAGATGTTTAAGTGATTTTGTTTTTAAATGGTTATGAAACAATACACAATACATGAACTCCAGAGCCAGATTCCTAGAGTTTAAATCATAGTTCTGCAATTCACAGGGTAATACAGGGCACGTTATATTGTCTCCCTGTGTTTCAGATCCCTCATACGTGTACTGCAGGAAGGAATAGATAACTGACTTACTGCATGTTAAGTGTCAGTAGTATGTCACTTATTTCCCTTATTTTTTTTAGTGAGGTGTTTGTATGCTTCTGTATACAAGACAAAGAAATCAGTAGATATACAAGGAAACTTCAAAAAGTTCATGAAACAATGAAATTAAAGTACAAGTATATTTCAGTGGAAAACTTTTGAAATTCACACAATATTTTTTATAATACGCATTTTCCATAAGCTTTTTTATTTTTTAATTTTTTGGAGAGGTTTCTGCTATAGGGCATGTGCACTCACCAGAAAGAGAGAGACACAGAGATAGAAAGTGACAAATCACCCCCCAGCAGAGATGTTCACACCACAATCCCTTCTCCTCCATTCTCCTCTCAGGATCTTGGGCACGCACACACAAGTACCCAGCATGAGTTTAAGCCACCAGGCCCAGGACTTGAACCGCGGTCAACTACATGGGAGTCCAGCAACATAGCCATTATGCCAACTGCTGGTCCCTCCATTAACTTTTTTAAAGACCCCCCCCCCCCCCCAAGTATAGACCAAAATATAATCAGGGGTTTTTTTTGATGAAGATGTAGATATTTTAACCTCTGTTATAGCTTATTTTTTTAAGTTTTTATAAATTTATTATTATTTTTAAAAATGTGTTGCAGGGCATATGTACTCACCAGAGAAAGATAGTGAGAGAGAGAAAGCAGGCCACCAGTCTAGGACTCAAACCATGGTCAGCCATGTGGGAGTCCAGCACCCTACCACCATGCCATCTGCTGGTCCCAAGCTAATATATTTTAAAATTCATTCTCCATGAGCACATATTAAGTAGAGTTTATTTCTCCTCAGTTTAATTTCCAACAGAGATTTTGAAATTTTCCACTGCTATGAAGTCTTTCTTTCATCTTAGAAAATAGAATTGGCCCCAGATCAAGAAACTTCACAGTTCCCTACAGCAGGTGCCACATTCTTTGCCCTTCTTCCTTTGAAGTAAAGGCCAATATTTCTACAGTAGTTATGTCTTCTCATTAGTGTTATATCTTAGAACAACTGCATTACATTACTTACAAAATCTGCAGTAGGTATGAATTTATCTGTGAAGCTGGTTTATAGCTTAAATTTTTAAGAGTGAGAATATCATGCACAGCAAGCCCATAAAAACATGACTTGATATCATATGGATAAGGCCCTACTGCAGCCCTAATCGTATGTCCCAATACATCAAACATGCGGAAAAGGCCTGAGAAAACATGCTCAAGGTGAAAAGCAACTATTCATTCTATCCTACACCAAAGTAAACAGGAAACAATTAACTGTTAAATTTGGGTTTATATTTTAAGATTGAAATAAACAATTCAATACCATGTCTTATGATTAAGAACGCAGTGAGAAGTTACAACGCCAGAACCACAAGACTTATACTACCCTGAGAAAAGGCTCTACCCTTTAAAAAAAACAGAACTTTGTATGATATGAATCATTCCATCCTGGTTTGTTTGTTTGTTTTTTAAGAGGGACTTTTGTTATTGGGTGCATGCACTTGTCATAGAGACAGAGAGACAGAAAGTGAGAAATCACCACCTGGGGAGATGGTCACGCCACAATCGCTTCTCCTCCATTCACCTCTCCAGATTCTAGGCGCACACACATGTATCCAGTGTGAATTTTAAGCCACTGGGTCTGGGACTCAAACTGCAGTTGACTACATCGGAGTCTAGCTACACAACCATTCCACCATCTGCTGGTCTCTCATTCCATTCTTAATCCAAAGTCTGCATTAGTTGATAATTGGGTTTCTCAGTCTCAGCACTACTGGCATTTTTCTGCCAGATAACTTTTTGTTTTAGGGGCTGTTTTATGCATAATGGCATGTTTATTTAACAGTATCCTTGGCCTTTCCCCACCAGTTACCAATATCACTTCTTCTGATGTAATAATAAAAACATTGCCTAAAAAACCAAAGCTCCAGACATTACCCAGTGTTCCTTGAGATGGAGGTGGCTGGGGGAGGGAAGGGAACCACTTCTAATTAACTGTAGAATAGTGTACCTGAAATAGTCACTAGGCTTTGTAAGATTATAGATCAAGAGGACCAGCAGGTGGCATAGTGGTTAAGGCACTATATCCCACATGTCCAACTTTGTGGATCAAGTCTCAGACCTGGTGGCTTGAGAAACACGGGAGAGGAGAATGGAGCAAAAAGGACTGCTTGGCTATCCTTCCTGGACATGATTTCTCTCTCTCTCTCTCTCTCTCTCTCTCAGTGAGCACACTTGCCCTATGGCAAAAAATCTAAAAAGAAAAAAAATATATACGTCAACAAACTGATCCAAAACTCAAGGTTCACAAATCTTTTTTTTTTTTTTTGGAGAGGTTTTTGCTATAGGGCGCGTGCGCTCGCCAGACAGAGAGAGACAGAGAGACAGAAAGCGAGAAATCACCCCCCAGGGGGGATGGTCACGCCGCAATCCCTTCTCCTCCATTCTCCTCTCGGGATCTTGGGCACGCACGCACACGTGCCTGGCATGAGTTTTAAGCCACCAGGTCCAGGACACGAACCGCGGTCGACTACGTGGGAGTCCAGCAACATAGCCATTATGCTAACTGCTGGTTCCCAAGTTCACAAATCTTTAACGAGGCATTTCTCCCACAATATAGGAAAACATGGTTAATCTGTCTTCAGTGGGCCATGCTCAGAACCCTCTGCCCCCATTCAGGTTCCCTTTCTCCCTCACTCTGTCCTAATAAAGAGGATTTGTCACAACTCAAATGAGAACATGACCACTTCGGGGGTAACGCATGAGAAACAATTTTACTGCTTTTCAGCTTCTCAAAGCAAAGACCTTCCATATATTGATGGAAAGATGTGTAAATTGAAAAACTACAATTGAGAAATACTATTGTATTTCCTATTCAGCCTTGTTATTTATAGCTCTGAGCTACTTTGGTGAGGATAATAAAGAGGAAAATAATTAGAAGCAAATAAAAAGGAGAAATTAAACAAATCATAAGCCAACAGAAGAGAGCACCACACCCAGAATATTATGGCTCAGAGCTAAGATTCCTGATTCCATTCTCAGTCAGAAGCTACAAATAAGGAATCAAGAAGAAAGACCTTGGGTTCCCACACAGGGAAAGCAGTCTCTTCAAAATGCTATGTTACACTATGGTTCCAAATGAGGCTGGGAGGCCCAAACAGCCCAAAACAGGCCAGGAGAGGGTTTCCTATCCCTCATCTTGGGAAGCTCCTGGGCATTCCACGGCCCCAAAGCCTCCCTCCTCTGCCAGGCAGATGCTCAGTCTCCGCACACAGCAAGGTTGCAATTCCAAAGAACCCGCTTCACATACCTACCTATTGTAGGAGAGAAAGGCCAGCAGGAACAGCAGGCCCGCTAACACGTCAGCTCTGCCAACAATCCCAGCCACCTAGGAAGTTTAAAAAAAAAAAAAAACTCAGAAAATGACTCTCAGAGAAGCACTACAAAATGCTTTTCATTTTTAAAGTTTTTTTCTTCCATGACTAAGAGAGGCAAAGACAGTGAGAGAAGCAAAGAAAGGGGGAGCGCCCACGAGAGGGTTCTAATGCCATCATTCACCCCCTTCCGCTTCAAATGCCCAGCCTTCAGCCAACCCACACCTGGTGCACTCAGGCAGGGAGGGCTCTGGCCTCGAACCAGGAGCACTCCCACAGGGGACTGCCTCAAGAGTCATGTTTTACTGCTGCATCACTGTCTGGCTCGCTTTTGTTTTTAGATAAATAAAAAGTATTAATAAAATATTATAGAAAACACATTGTTCTTCAAATTCTGATATGACTAATCACCTCTGATGATCATATATATACACATATATATGCAATAGAAAAGCATAGAAAAAATATATATGCATAGAAAAATGTCTTGACTTTTCCAACTATATATATATATATATATATATATAATATATATTTTAAACAATAAGATTATAGAAATTCATAGAAGGAGGCTCAAAAGAAAGAAGGGGCAAGGTTTTCATACTCAGCTTTATTCTTAACCTCTCTTTAGGGTCCATTGACAGCATTAAAGTTTATTCATTCACTGATTTATTCCAAATAAAAAATTTTGAGTAAGAATTTCATCCCAGACATCATGCTGGCCTTTGAGCACTAGAGTGCTAACGGAGCAGAGGTATTTACAGAGTACTAAGAAAAAGTCAGTTGAGGAATCGACTAGGAAATGAGTGGGAACTCATTGAAAAGACGGTTTCCTTGGAGAAGTCTGTTTCAAGATCGGGACAGGAGGCACAGGGAGTCCGGCTCACCTTCTCCTGTCAGAAAGCAAGAAAGTGCTCAAAAACTGATAGCCAAATGGGCACAGAGGTCAGCGACGAGGACTTCTGCTGACCAAATCTGAGACATGTTGAGTTATCAAAATAAATAACTGCTGCAATATATTCTAGTCTATTCAAAAACCAGAAATCTGTGAGTCCACACTGATAATAAATATAAGGATGAACGAATGGGTACATGCAAGTAGAGTCATACATAAATACTAAGCTAATGAGTGGGAAAAAAGAGCTCTTCTGTCATTCACACATAAGCTAAAGAACACGAAGGGAGCAGTAGTGTTGGAAAACAACCGTTTTGTTTCCAAAAGAACAAAGAGTGAATTGAGCAAGAAACATCAAAAATACCAATAAATACTGAAGATTTTTGAGACACAAAATATTTGCATAGCTTCAAAGTGTCTCTCCACAGGTTACTCATTAGTAGAAAAATAAAAAGAAAATCATTATACTATGGAGAAAATGCATTACATTGCATTACACCTTGACTAGGGGACCAAAATTAAAATCACCATTCCTGCAAAGGAAGTATCATGTATGCAGCGTTCTAGACAGGGATATGTAACCGTAATATATTCAGGACAAAACAGCAAACAAACTTAAATCGAGACACATTCCATAAAAATAGACAAATAAGGGAATCAGCAGTTAGCGTAATGGCTATGTCGCTGGACTCCCACGTAGTCGAACGCAGTTCGCGTCCCGGACCTGGTGGCTTAAAACTCACGCCAGGCACATGTGCGTGAGTGCCCAAGATCCTGAGAGGAGAATGGAGGAGAAGGGATTGCAGCGTGACCATCCCCTCTAGGGGGTGATTTCTCGTTTTCTGTCTCTATGTCTCTCTCTGTCTGTTTGGCGAGCATACACACCCTATAGCAAAAACCTCTTGAAAAAACAAAAAAACACAAATATATATACGTATTAATAAATCATAAAAACTAAATTATAACTTAAAGTTTTATAGCATTTTAATTCATTCTGATTAATATTACATCATGATTTCTAATCATATTGAAAGTCATGATCTCATATAAAATACTGTATATAGTATATACAGTAGGTATATTCTATGCATGTTAAATGTGTCTATAAGTATTTATATATTATACATTATATTTTATATTTTAAAATTGAGTATTATGTATTTACAAATATATGACTTTAATTTATACATCATGTTTTTAATGTAATATACTGTATTTATAAATCATATACAATGCATGTGTTATAATCTATACATGTGTAATATATGTTAGATTATAATTATATAATACAATGTATATTATATAGTAATACAGTATAAGAAATATACTAACATTTTACATTATATACTTCATAATATAAATTGGGCCAGTAGGTGGCATGATGTTTAAGATGCTGTTTTCCTACAAGACCAACCAAAGTTTGAGTCCTGGACCTAGTCGCTTGAAAAATCTGTGTGGTGTAGTGGTTAAGGTGCTGTACTCCTACGTGGCTAACTATGGTTCAAAAACCAGATCTGGTCCCTGCCTAAAGTCCCAAGAGAAGAATGGAGAAGGGACTGCAGTGTGGCCATCCCCCCATAGGGGTGATTTCTCACTTTCCCTCTCTCTGAATCTGTGTGGCAAGTGCATGTGACCTATGATGAAAACTGAAAAAAAAAAAAAAAAAAAAAGAAAAGTAAAGAAAATCATACTGGGTATATGTGCGAGCATGTTCAAAATCCCAGGAAGAAAGTGGAGGAGAAGGGATTACAGCATGGCTAATCCCCTTGGGTGGTGATTTCTCACTTTCCATCTCATTGTCTCTATCACTCTCCAGAAAGTACATGTGTCCTATGGCAAAAATCTAATAAATAAATCCCATAAATTTTATTATAAAATAAAAAAGAAGGGAACCAGCAGTTAGCGTAATGGCTATGTTGCTGGACTACCACGTAGTTGACTGCGGTTTGCGTCCTGGACCCAGTGGCTTAAAACTCACGCTGGGCGCGTGTGCGTGCGTGCCCAAGATCCCAAGAGGAGAATGGAGGAGAAAGGATTGCGGCGTGACCATCCCTCCTGGGGGGTGATTTCTCGCTTTCTGTCTCTATGTCTCTCTCTGTCTGTCTGGCGAGCACACGCACCCTATAGCGAAAACCTCTCCAAAAAATTTTTAAATTAAATTTAAAAAAATTTTTAAAACACTGACAACTGTCCCAAATTAAAAGAGAATAAAGAAAACTAAAGAAAAATTAAGAATAATGCATTCAGTTTTAGATAATACAATGAGGCCAGCTGCAGTGGTGCATCAGTAAGTATAACACAATGGTCTGTGATACAGAGGCCCTATGGGACGGTCCCAGGTTTACATCCTGATGTTTACCTGTACATACAAAGCACATGAATGCTCATAATATGGGCTGGCTATGGCTAGGGATGGATCTCAGCAGGGAGAACCTGTCTTTTTTTGGAGAGGTTTTTCTTATTGGGCGCGTGCACTCGCCAGAAGGACAGAGAGAGACAGAGAGATAGAAAGCAAGAAATCACCCCCCAGGGGGGGATGGCCATGCCACAATCCCTTCTCCTCCATTCTCCTCTCGGGATCTTAGGCACGCACGCACATGCGCCTGGCATGAGTTTAAGCCAACGGTTCCAGGACTCAAACCATGGTCAACTACATGGGAGCCCAGCGACACAGCCATTACACTAACTGCTGGTCCCAAGGGAGACCCTGTCTTACTCTGTCTCTTTGCCCCCCACCTCTTTTTTTTTCTCTCTCATAAGAGAAATAAATAAACTTAAAAAAAAAAAATAGGGCCAGCAGGTGGTATGGTGGTGAAGGTACTGGATCCCACATGGCTTGAGTCCTGGACTTGGCAGCCTGAAAACTGGTTGCTTGTGCATGCATACCCAAACTCCTAAGAGGAGAATGGAGGAGAAGGGATTATGGCAAGAACATCCTTTCTAGACAGTGCTTTCTCACTTTCTCTCTCTCTCTCTGGAAAGTACACATGCACTATAGCCAAACTTAAATAAATAAATAAATATACAACTATATTACTTAGGTGTACAGGGGCATAAATTATGCAACCTACTTTTAAATTCTTCAGAAAATAAATAATATCTTTGTATATGGAGGAAGAAATAGAAAAAAATGATAAAACGAATGTAGTAAAATGTGAACCATTATTGAACCTGGATTAAATGTATGCAGTCATTCTCTGTAGTTTTATTTATTTATCTATTTATTACTTGATAGTACATGCACTCACCAGGGAGAGGAGAGGGAACATATTCCTCCTACTGGGAGATGGTCATGCCACAATCCTTCTCCTCCTTTTCTTTATCCTGTCGCGATTTGGGGCATGCGTGCATGCATGCCCAGTGTGTAATTCGAGCCACTGGGGCTAGAATTTGAACAGTGGTCAGTTATGTGGGATCCAGTTCCTTTAACCACTACAGATCTAGCCATAGTTTTTACATTTGAAATTATTTCAAAGAATACGTTAAGGGTGGGACACAGACTTTATAAATCTTTTTGCTACATAAGAAGTATATGGGGACCAGCAGGTGGCATAATGGCTATGTCACTAGACTCCCATGTAGTCGACCAAGGTTCGAGTCCCAGACATAGTGCTTAAATTTACGCCAGGTCCATGTGCGTGTGGGCCCAAGATCCCGAGAGGAGAATGGAGAAGAAGCGATTGTGGTGTGGCCATCCCCCCTAGGGGGGGCATGATTTCTTGCTTTCTGTCTCTCTGTCTTTCTGGTAATCCCATGTGCCCTATAGCAAAAACCTTTCTAAAAAAAAAAAAAGAAGGAAAGAAAAAAAGAAAGAAAGAAAGAAAGAAAGAAAGAAGTTTGTGCTTTTCTTTTAATGTGTAAGACTCTAATAAAAATGGAGCTGGTTCTTAACAATAAAAAAAACTTCAAAGGAAAGATCACATAAGATCTGAACGATGAGAAGCAGTTCACAAGGGAAAGGAAGAAGGGTGACATTTCAGGCCTAGAGAAGAGCATCACCCAAATCAGGGAGAACTTGACACCCACAGTGGGTTAGGGAATCTATTCACAGTTAATAATAGAAAATAATTTTCTGGGAAAATGCCTGTAAACGTCCTGTGTAATGAGTGCCCTTTGCCG